AAAAAAAAAAAAAAAGAGGTGCCTTAGATTTGGATGTTTTATCAATATGTATGTCAAACAGAACAGAACATGGCCACTTGAAAATTTGTATTTTTTGTTGCCGTCGTGTTTGCAATTCTAATCTGCCAATGGTATTTCTCATTCATTCGCCGCACTCACTCATGAGGTATGCCATCTGCATTCAAAGAAAAATATGTATCACCACACAGTCTTGTAATACCCTCCATGTAGTAGTTTAAATTACAGTTGTGTATATACATCTACCCAATTATTTTAATTTTTTCTTGTATAATTTGTCAGCCTGACAAAGCAGAGCTGATCATTCTGTATTTGTGACATGTTTAGTGTGGCACTTAACACATGTCCTGTCCCATCTTGTAGATAAAAGGAAGAAAAGGAAATCTAAAACAGGGGAGCTGTTTAAACAGGTCTGCAAACATATTACTGCAGTTTGCTAAGTAACTAAAATGGTAATTTGTTGCACTTGATCACAAATTGTCACCTCGTAATGTAAGCATTATAAAACACTTGTGGAAGCACCATCATTATCTGGCCACAGGACCCTAGATAAAAGAGACTCTATGACATGATAGGGAGGTTTGGTGGCCTAATCGTTGCCATGCACTATCTACATGTAGACTTGTCCAGGTTCTTGGTTGAAGTCCTGAAAACACAACTCAATGAGCTCACTTTACTCCCACAGAGCCTCTGTGCCCAGGTGAATGGACCATTTGGCCTGACACAGACTTAAACCCTATTTAACTTGCTGTGGCAATTGATTAACCTCATTAGAAATGTTAGAACAGTAATTGTTTTGTAACTGACTTGCTGCTACCACTGATCATAACTTGAAGTTCTTCATGTGAAAGGTTCTTGTCAGAGGCAGTGATGTATTACTGTAAGTTGCTTGCAAATTTCCCAAAAGGATTTTAGCAACTGTTGTACATACTTGTGATAATGAGCCATGGCTTTGAGATTTTTAATGCTAAGTTGCAATTTTGTCCTTGTTCACCAGAGATTTAGAAGAACTTTTGCCATGCTTTTGGAAGAGGCAGTAAGTGTGAGATCAAGATTTCATACTTTTAGCAAATAATGGTCAACAGATATGATAATTTGTCATTTAAATGTGATGACTTCCACACAGCCTATCACTGCATGTAAATCTACATGCTTCATGTAAACCCATATTAATAATTTTGCCTGTTTATTTGTTGATTATTTGTCATCTTTTTTCATTATTCAGCAACAGGAAGCTGAAGCTGGGGAACCATCCTACAACTCAGCCAATGTACCTCCATCAAAGTTTCCAGAACGGCACTTCTGCTCTGTCTGTGGATATCCTTTATTTCAGAATTTATTTCACAATTAATAGTTAGTAAATAAACCCCTTCTGGCGCCTGGTGTGTCAGCTGATAATGTCTGCAGCTGAGATATTGTCTGAAAAATGAATATTTGGCCGAGAAGTGAAGCTTCGAGGGCAAATGTGAAATTTTGAGGACAATCTCTCAGCCAAGGACATTATCAGCCAACATACCAGTGAGGTAGAAAGGGGTTCATTTATTTTATAACCCTCCCACCTCTGTGCTAATCGGAACAGCATTGCCGACCATTTTTTTTAAAAAATATGTCATAATCAGCGGATTCCACTCAGAGAGTTTGTTTTTCTTCTATGAAAAGTAATAAAGATGAAAAGGTGAAATTCTAGAGCTAGATTTATTCTTTTTAGCTTTGTTTCTTTTCAACAGAAACAGTCGCAGGGCAATTATTGCCCCAGGTGTAGGTTATTGTGTGATAACTGCCCGGTAATTTTGCAACACGTGACATAAAGTAGCCAGTAGAATTGTGCAAAAATTAAGCGTGGGTTATAATTAATGGTAACCACAATAATTTGATGTACTTTTGGTAGCTATTTGCATGTGTTATTCATCCCAATCAGGATATTTCCAGAGTAACTTTGTGTGTTCTTACACAACAAATGTGACATCAGCTATACTCTTCCTGGTGCTGCTATGCTCAGAGACCCAGTGGCTGTTAGTTGCAGCCGGACGCCGTAAATGCAAAGAGGATTCAATGCGCTTCGATTTTTACCATGTTTACTTGATCCCACCCCGATTAACTACCCCTTGGTCTCGGAGGATGTGGCATTTCTTGATTTTATAATGTTTGTTTTTGTCAGTGTGGTAATGAGTCATCTGTGAACCCTTAACTATTCTTCACATTCCCTTCAAACTACACCTGTGTATCTTGTGGAGCAAGATATTGCTGTGTGAAGTGTTTGTCGACACACCAGGACACAAGATGTCTTAAGTGGACAGTATGAGCTGCTATTACCATCACTTGTTCTCTTCTTCTCACAATTTCAAGCATTCATCATAAAACGTTACAGCGGCTTGCCCATTCAGAAGTCAATAATCTGGTTCACAATTCCGTGGTGGTATAAAACACTATGATTCCAGGAGACAAGAACATGCAACTTGTAATACGGTTTATCTTTAACTGGATGTACAGGGCTGCAGTTTTAGTCAAAGCCGTTGCTAAGCGACAAGATCTATCGTTATAACATAATGCTTGAAGAGGAGGTTTTTAAAACGATACTGACACCAAAGTTNACAGTCGCAGGGCAATTATCGACCCAGGCGGAGGTTATTGCGTGATAACTGCCCAGTAATTTTGCACCACATGACGTAAAGTAGCCAATAGAATTGCGCGAAAATTAAGCGTGGGTTATAATTAATGGTAACAACAATGATTTGTTGTACTTTTGGTAGCTATTTGCATATGTTATTCTTCCCAATCAGTGATATTTCCAGAGTCACTTTGTGTGCTCTTACACAACAAATGTGATTTCAGCTATACTTTTCTGGTGCTGCAATCCTCAGAGACCCAGTGGCTGTTAGTTGCGGCCGGACGCAGTAAATGTAAAACAGAAATCAAAGCACCTCGATTTTTGCCATATTTACTTGATCCCACCCTGATTAATTACCCCTTGGTCTCCGAAGATGTGGCATTTCTTGATTTTATTAAGTTTTTTTTTTGTCAGTGTGGTAATGAGTCATCTGCGGATCCTTAACTTTTCTTCACATTCCCTTCAAACTATACCTGTGTATCTTGTGGAGCAAGATATTGCTGTGTGAAGTGTTTGTCGACACACCAGGACACAAGATGTCTCAAGTGGACAGTATGAGCTGCTATTACCATCGTTCGTTCTATTGTTCTCACAATTTCAAGCGTCATCATAAAAGGTTTCAGCGACTGAGGTCATTCCGCAGCCAATAATCCAGTTCGCAATTCCGTGGAGGTATAAAACACTATGATTCCAGTAGACGAGAACATGCAACTTATAATCCAGTTTATCATTAACTGGATGTACAGGGTTGCAGTTTCAGCGAAACCCGTTGCTAAGCGACAAGATCTATCGTTATTACGTAATGCTTGAAGAGGAGGTTTTTAAAACGACACTGACACCAAAGTTTTAGAGCCAAAAAAGGCAACATTTCATATCGATTCACGGATTGTGACCTGCCTAACTTGTACATACTTGTAGTTAATTTGTGTTACATTAAAGATCGCCGAACGGTTGCCTGTTGGAACAATTTTTCTGTTTTTTGACAGCTTTTTGACATCTTTTTGACAATATTCTGATGGCTTTCGTTTTTAATGGCCAATCAGAATGCAAGAACGTGAAGAAGAGTTGTCAAGATCCACACTCACGTTATGACAGTTATGACAAGCTTCGCAGTTCTTGCAATTCGATTTCCTACTTTAAACAAAAGACAAAGTTTTCAAAAAGTTGTCAAAAATCTAAAGAAAACAGCCTCGTCAAGTGGCACTGTAAAAAGTATTTTTACTCTAAACGGTTGATAACCTCTTTGGCCAAAACCATGTCATATTTTTCCTTCGTCAGCATTGTTCATTTTGCGGTACATCAGAATACCTTCAACTCACTTGTTACGAGAGATCACGCAAAGCCACGAATCATTGAGAAATAACCTGTCTGATTACCACTCTAGCGCTACCGCCCTCTGCGTTAAGCTAGGATGGGATAGTCTCTATATCAGAAGGAAAAAGCAAAAATTGAAATTAATATTTAAAAGTATGAATGATTAGACTCCGGAGTACCTGAAAGGCCTATTTAAACCCTTCAGCACGGACTATCGTCTCGGAAAGATTGGGAAAAAAAAGCTCTGCCCAGGCCCCGTACCAATTTTCTCAAAACGAAGTGTCTGCTATAGTGGGGCACGTCTGTGGAGTAGCCTTCCATCTAACGTCAGAGCCATTAGATCTTTTATATTAACTCCAAAAATGAGATCAATCACCGAATGTTCTCGTACTCCCACACGACAAACATCTGAATCATTTTTTTTCCTTTTTTATCTCGATCTTGTGATATCACTGATGTTTCTACCGTGGTTAAATAAAGTGTATGTATGTAAATATTCCTACCGGAATATTCGGGACCACCTCTGGAGGTGGTCCACTTTGACCGGTTCGACCGAAATTTGCCGTTCCATTTGGACAAACCCGTTCATTGCCCTACTCTTCAGTAGATTTTACTTATGTAGGGAATTCGGAAAATGAATAAAAAATGGTAAGAGCCATTCCTTTTGGTTGGCCCGGTTTGATCGGAAAATGTCGTTCCCTTTTTCCTCGGAAAGCCCACTGGTCTCTGACTGGTCGGTCTGGTATGGTGGAAGCGCCCACGGTTACCGTAGTAAGACGCCCACAGAACAAATACCAATCTCGTTCCCAGAGTCCGCGTTAACACGTAGGCATGGGCAGAATGGATAATTGGCTCATTTTCGCTTCCATACCTCCCCGATACAGTAAAACAAAATGGCGGACTTTCGTTTATGCTTAAGCTTATTTTTTGTGCCCAAACAGGGGCCAGCATTTGCGGAGCCGTTTGGAAATTGTCTGAAGAGACTTCAGTTCCTAGGGTGTTTTCCAGCCTTACTTATAAACTTTCGTGGGCTGGCTTCAATTTTTGCCGGGTTTACTTCGTCCCGCCCCAACTAACTGCCCCTGGGTCTCCAAGAATGCCGTGGCCGGTGACCTCACAATACCTTGACGAATCAGACTGCTCCATTTGCATTGATATCTTTATAACCGAATACCGACAACCGGCAGTCTAACGGTTCCTAGTGTGACAATATTGTTGACTAATCATGAAAAATATTATGCCGCAAAATCTTAAACCGGCCGCGCCAAATAAAACGAGTACATCAATGCAACTTCCGGGTAACCGTCCGAGCTCGCTCATGATCATATAAAATCCCAACTCGGTACGGTATGAGACAGCCATAAACACCAGAGAAGTTTCATAGCCATGAGCTTTGCAGATAATAAGGTGGTCTCTATCTAAGGACTAAATATTTCAACAATTTAACCTTTTGATTGGCTATATGATGCGTGATCTGTCACGTTGTTAATGGTTTAGCCCATGACGCGCTACAGCGTTACAAATGCCGTATTTGTGAAAGGATGGTTCATATGACCTACTAGAGAAGTCTTCAACTTAACTACACTTTACAACGAGAGACATCTCGGCCGTGACGTCTTTCATGGGTCTAAGTAACACTGTCACTCATTTAGATTAGATTATACGCGCTTAACGTATCTTTAATGAATATGGCGGAAAAAGGAGTCGACGATATCGACGATATCATGGACATGGTTCAAACAATGAAGTCCCTCGGTGTTCCGTCCACGGGATTGCGAACTTTGGACGAGATGAAGCAGCGAGTGAAAGAGACGCTTAAACTGTCAGAGAAGAAATCCAGCTGGACAGCAAAGGAGGTGAGATTTTGTCGATCAGGCTGAGCGCGTACTGTCGAATTAAAACTCGACACGATTAATTTTGGTCTGGAGTGGGAACTCGAGATCTGAAGCAAATCATGCGGCCTAAAACCTGACATTAACCGATCGTTTGCGCCAATATCGGTGTCTTTTATAGCAGGACCCTCCTTTAGGATTCATGACTGGAAAAATTCAAATGTAAATGTAAGTGCGAAACGATTAACTGAAGAAGGAGTACCTCTTAGCTTGTTGGAACGGTTGATGTTCCTCGAAATCAGTCGTTTAAATTGAGAGGTGTCAGAGCATTAGACATCTGAGTCCGAGTCCCCAGCTATAAACTATTCTCCTAGCTGGTTATTGATAATCAAATACTTCTCTCTGTTTGACAACTGATATGATTATCAATAAACATAGAGAACGTACACGAAGAACGTTCACGAAGAAACGACGAAATCGAGGTTACGAAATCAAGTGTTACTACCCCATATCGAAGCTTAGACGCACAGAAATCGATTTTAAAACAAGGAGTGAGTATGAAAGGTAAATATATATGCTCAACCGTCGTTGTAGAATGAAATTTAGAGTCTTCTTTCCTTCAAATTCTATTGGAAAAGATCGACAAGTTTAGCGTTCTTTGTTTTCTTAGAAAAGCTTCCATTATTTCCTTGAATATTAATGAATAATTGTCTCGAGTGACCCCTCAGTGTCACGTCGAATCAACTGTGGAATTTTAAATGGAAAGTACATTAGAGAGCTGCAAAAAGCGACAAAACCAGCAAAAAATGTCGCCAAACAAAAGAATTAAAAGGTTTAAGATTCGCACGTGCGTTGTACCTATTGCTACACAAGCCGTCCAGGTGAGATCGCCACATACTTTCCAATTTTGAAGGAGCTACTTAACGGTGGGTGAATCTTGAAAAGTTTAGCCTTAGCTTACGCATTTGTAATCCGTGTGGATCTTCTCAATCCTTAAGCCATCCTTGTTCGACTCCTTTATATAATATACGCTATATTATTATCTCTCAAATGGTGTTTTTCCATCTTAGTACACTACTACCTTCAGCTGTTCTTCAATTTAAAGGTTATTTTGTACGCGGCCAAAATACCGTGACTGAGCTCCTTTCAGACCGGGAATGTTTGGTTCTGCTTGGCAGGGATCACAGCGTTTTGTACACATTCAGTTGAATATACGCACTGAAGAAATCGTGGTTGGCTGTATGTAGTTTCCTGTGCACGCTGAAGTTAAGCTAAGCCTACTTGGTGAAGTTAATTCATGTAAATAATTTTAAGTGGAGCGTCTCACGTGATGTAATGGTAAAGAGTTTACTGTAAACACAATTTTTCCTTAATTTTGCCATTAGGCGAGCGTGGAAAGGAAAACCATCCGATGTAAATCAGCTTCAACTGCCGGAAAGAATATATCGCATCTACCTGTTAATTACCTACTCAGTTTAGCCGGTTTTCAGAATGTAAATGACTTTAAAGAGACTGCGAATTCTATTCGTTTGCTCGTTGTCATACAGATGTCTGTATGATTTACTTCTGAGACAGATAGAATCTCTTCCTTTAGACCAGACTAAATCATAACCGCCTCGTATAACTGTGACATTTTGCTTAATTTTGACAGCTGGTTGCTCAAAATACTTATAACATCGATTTTAAGCAATCCTCTGTAAAGGATTCCTTCTCGCCAGGAAAAAAATTGTGAACGTTTCTCTCGCACATGTTCGTACGTAGATCACGGTATTTCGCTGTCATTACCGGGATTTGCAAGCAATCATATACCAGAAATTCGATATCCGCGTCACTGAATATTTTTGTCATCTCGTATCGAACTCGCACGCAAAGAATAATAGGCCTTTTGAGTATTTTTTGTCATTAGTTCTTAGATCTTATTTATTTGTTGCCGAGCGTTTTTAACATGAGCCTCTGGCTCGGAAGATTGTGCAAACACTTTCCGCGTTTTCGACATGAAATAAATCATTGCTATTACTATTGCGATTGCGATTGCGATTGCTATTGCTATTGCTATTGCTACTGCTATTGCTAGTGCTAGTGCTGGTGCCATTACTATTGCTATTGCTATTACTATTACTATTACTACTACTATTGCTATTGCTATTACTATTGCTATTACTCTTACTATCAGTGCTGTTACTATTGCTATTACTATTGCTATTGCTATTGCCATTGCTATTGCTATTGCCATTGCTATTGCTATTGCCATTGCTATTGCTATTGCTATTGCTATTGCTATTGCTATTGCTATTGCTATTACTATTACTATTACTATTACCATTTCATATGGGAGTTCCCTGGGGTATTAACACTATTAACTCTTACTTTGTCTTTCTATGATCAGCCCTTCTCTGTGTTAACTGACGCCAAACAAGAAGATGAGAGAAAAAGAGAAACCTTGTACGAATTCTACGAGAATACGGAGGTTTGTTTGAACAGCATGGATGACAAGATTCGCCTTCTTTTGGAGCAGAATGTAACAAACTACAGCGATAAAATCGCTTGGCACAAAAGGAACTTAAAACAGCAGGAATACATTGTACTTGTTGCAGGTGAGTTGTAACGGATCTACATTTTTGAGATTAATTTAACCATGACATATTCACCAAAACATGACGAAACTATTCAAGGTCTCGTAAAACAGGAGTTGGCTTCAACTTTCAAGAAAACCTTTACTTTATTTACTTTACTTTACACACTTTATTTAGACACGGTAAAAACATCAGTTACATGATTAAAACAAAAACAAAAAAACAAAAAACAAAAAACTGATTTACATGTTTGCCGTGTAGGAGTACGAGGAGGACAATTGGCAATTTATCTCATATCTAAAGTTAATAAAAGATCTAATGGCTCTGACGTTAGATGGAAGGCTATTCCACAAATGTGCCCCACTGTAGCAGAAACTACGTTTCAAAAAATCGGTACGGGGCTTAGGCAGAGCCAATTTGTTTTAATTTCACTATTTCTAAGTCCATGGTCCGTGCTGAATGGTTTAAATAGGCTTTTCAGGTACTCCGGAGACTGATCATTCAAAGTTTTAAACATTAATTTCAATTTTTGCTTTTTCCTTCTGATATAGAGATTATCCCATCCTAGCCTACCGCGAAGGGCGGTAGCGCTAGAATAGTAATCAGACTTGGTGATAACCCTAATGGCGCGATTTTGTAGGTCTTCATTAATAGAAGTTGACTGGTTCTATTATCTCGCCCATTTCCAACAGGTTGTTCTAGAAGGAAAAAAAATTTTTTCGTCACAATTGACGGTTGGCAACCGCAATGAGCGACAAAAGTGTTGAGACACGTCGCAGTAAAATTCGATTTTCGAGCGTCCTGGAAACATCCCTCCACCCTCCTTCTGGCAAGCAATGTTGATTTTTCTATTTCTAAGACTNGGGGGTATCAGAGAATTAACGCTACATGTAAATGAAATAGAATGATAGGTTAAATAATAAAAAGCGTCATTTTCTAAAAGTGTCTCAATTGCAATTACATCATCGCATAACTGCGATGATCAATTATGTCTTCAGCGTCTCAATTACTTTTGTCGCCCATTGTATATTCTGTGTCATTTATGGTGGTCGGCTGTTACCGTCAAAAATACCTTCATTAATTTAATAGGAGCTGATCATTTTCTTATCTCACCATTAGGCAATAAGATGGGCTGTTCTAAATGAAAGGGAACTGAAATGTTTCTCATAACCATCTAAGACCAAACACCTGAGGCTATACATGATCCTCGCATTTGATGATCTTCTTCTTCCGCCTTATTTCTCAAATCGTCATTTGCGAAAACATTGCAATGCCACAAAAATGTCTATTAGATGTGATTGTGTACTAAATGACACTATTCTACCAGGTGAGACAAGTTCTGGAAAAAGTACCCTGTTGAACCTGATTCTTGGAGAACATCTTCTTCCATACTCCGTTCTCAGCACAACGTCTACCATCTGTGAGCTAAAATACGGGACCACGCCCGCACTGGTAGCGCACTTCAAAGACAAAGATCCACAGACAGGGCTCCCCACGAGGACTGTGCAGCTTGGTCAGTCTAGGGAAACCTGTCTTGAGGAGATCTCATCCTTTGTACACGTGAAGACCGATCGAGAGAAGGGATCTGATTACAAGAAGATTGAGCTCTTTTGCCCTCACAGCCTGCTTAAGGTTGGTTATGAGTCAAGATATCAAAAAGGCAATGTTTATAATCTTGCACCAGTTGCCCTCCTGCCGAAAACGTTAATGACACCCTTGAGTACTAGGTGACATCAGGAGCCATTATGGCTCCTGCTGACATATCAACTTACAGCAGTCCGGTTCCCTGGAGCATGATGACAACTGATGTGTTGAAGTTTAATGGCAGTGGCACTGCAACCTAATTGGCATTTAGATGACAGCAGTTTACAGTGTCGGTTACATGCAAAAAACAAGCAATTCAAGCAATTCAAGTTCTTGTAGGTGCAATAACTAAAGATGCATGCAATCTGTTATCTAAGAAAAATTAAATCCATGTCCCTGTTCCATAATTTATTTATTGTACCAAACTAGGTTTTAGTTAACTACACTGAGTACGTTTTTAATCTGTTTTGAAATTCGTTGATTTTAATATACTGACACTGTAGTTTATTCGAAAATTTCTTTATCCTTTAAGGCAAGAATAGAGACAATTTAGTGTCGTTGGCCATAGCTATTAAACAATTAGATTGTAAGCTTGCGATTTCTAGCGTGTGATAGTTGACGAGGGCTCAGCCCGAGTCAACTATCATGCATAGAAATCGAGAGCGAATAATCTAATTGTTTTAGTATAAATCTGCAAGTCGTTCAAAACTTTATTTAAATCCTCTTCACAGACACTTCGAAAACGCCAAGAAGCGGCCGTCATTTTGTTAACAACGGCACACTGCTACGCTACTCACTATCTACAACAGAATGGATAGTGAGTAGCGTAGCCAATCAGAGAACGGCCTTCGTGATAGAACGCTTGGCGATTTATACTAATTAACAATTAGATTATGAGCTCGAGATTTCTATGAGGTGATAGTTGATGAGGCTGAAGGCCGAAACAGCTTTCACCTCATAGAAATCGAGAGCAAATAATCTAATTGTTTTAGTAGAATTCTAACTGAAATTAACGCAGATAACGGTTTCCAATTATTTTTCTCTGCATTATTGAACTTCGGGCTTTAACAAAATCGCACGTATTGAATTGTCCTTGGTAATTTTGCAGTTGTTTACGCGCGCGCACCCGGTTTTTCAATAATTTCAAGTTTTTAAAGTCAAGAAACCGTCAATTTCCTTTTTTTCAGTCGTCTCAGGAACTGATTTAATTATCTATTTACATCTAAACTTTCTTCCAGAACTTCGGAAAAACAATAAAAAAGTCGCATTTCGTGGACGATCGACAGCTACTGCACTCTAATTAACAATTAGACCCGTGGCCCTTAAGGGCGAAGGGTCTAATTGTTTTAGTATCACCCAACTAGTCGGACAGAAAAGGCAGTAATAAACTTAGCAAATGCAAGTTGAAGAAATACTTATTTGGGAATAAACCGAAAGAAAGCGTCACGCTCGATTGCGCCAATTTCGCTACTCGAGGACTATTGCTAATAGTCCTCTAGTGGCGTAGCCAATTAAAATGCAGGATTTGCATTAGTCCACTAGTTGGGTGATACTAATGGCTGATAGTATACGAGTAGCTTAGCCAATCAGATTGCAGCATTTGCATTAGTACACTAGTAGAATTCTACTAAAAAATGATATTTTACCTCATACATCTCACATCATCTCCTTTTCAGCAAGGTATCGTTATAGTGGACAGTCCTGGTGTTGGTGAGTCTGGCATCATGGACGACATTGTTAAAGAGTACCTTCCAGAGGCGTTTGCTTTCATTTACGTAATCAACAGTGTAAACGCCGGTGGAATACAACGAGACAGGGTAAGATCTACAAAACTCTAACATCGAAAAACAATACTTGTGGAAATAAAAGCGAATTTTTTTGTTTTCCTACTTTGATAGAAAACGTTAACTATGTATACCTCAAGGCAAGGTTGTGGTGTTAATTATGCAGAAAATCTCCACCTACAGGTTTCTAAAATATACTTGCAAGTATTTAATACACGATAAGCTTAATTCACCGTTTTTTCAGTACACCTAACGAGTAATTTGTAGGCCACCTGATCTGACGTTTTTACTTATTTAAATATATTTGTCATTGTTTTCTCTAAGAGCCTATCAAGAGGGATTACTATATTACAATTTTTGCCTCATTTATTGAGGCTCACACACAAACACAAACAAACAACACACCGAACGTTGCGCAGAAAACAACGAGTTATTTTAGCTTTAAAAGTGTGAAGAGATAAGAGTTTCGGACATCAAGGTCCAGAGAATTCCAGCCAGACTGCGGATGGAAAAATTAAAAAGACTTTTGAGCAAGGAAATTGGGCGAAATTTTACCTTGCTTTAAGACAAAAATGTGTACACTCACTAGATAGTTTGGGAAATAATTCATTTAACTAAGGCGGCCAAGATTCTCAGCTATTTTGTAAAATTTGGTTAGCTTGGTTATGTAGTTCTCTCCTGCTACTCAGAAGCTCTCAACCAAGTTCCTTGTGCAAGCTTGCAGAGCTACAATACCTGACAAAAAAGTTAAGACACGAAACAGGTTCTTCCCTCCCCCACTTACAATGTTGAATATCTGGTGATTTTTTTTTACCTTTTTCTTGAAAAAACGCGACATTTTCCAGCATTAATTGATTTGGGGGGGGGGGGGGGGGTAATCCCTTATAAATATGTACTATACAGGTATGTGCGGCCCCAAAAGGTATGGTTTTTCAGTCGTTTTGGTCACAAATGGGGAACTGATTTTGGCCATTTTGGTGATAAATAGGGTATAGNGGGGGGGTGGTAACCAGATCCAGCTAAAGTGTCCGGCCAACTATTTTTGTCCGGGATTGTGGCTAGACCCTTAATGGTTCATGTTACCCCCCTTGCAACTTATTTCCTTTTGTTAAACCGTGCCAAAGTTCTGATTGGCCACCGAGGTGACTTCTAATAATAATTTCTGAGTTTAGTGGCAGCTGTAAAACCTTTTTCAGTGTAGATTCATCTGAACGACAATCAAGCTTTTTAAGTGATCATAACCTTTTCTTGTACCTCCCTACTGGAATACAAATCGTCCGTAGGACTTTGGCGAAAGAAATTGGAGTTGAACATAGGACGCCTTAGTTTTTGGTAATGTTCAGCCGATACGGATAAGATACCGCGCGGCTACAAAAATCAGCATTTCAGACCCAGGCCTAATTTCTAGAAACGCAGTGATGTTTCTCCAGCCAGAATCCTGTTCCTCGATGAGGAAAACGTTTCAGTAGTTCACACTAATAATTCGGAGGAGGCCTTGCAAGGCATATTTGCAAGCGAAAAATAATATGTCCTTAAATGTCTCTTGCTTGTTTTTAGCTGGAAAAACTGATCGAATACGCCAGAAAGGTATCTCTTGACCAGCAGAGGGAAACGTCGTCAACTCAAGCCCTGTTCGTGTGCAATAAGTGGGATCAAGTGCCACCGGGAGAGGCCAGTGAGGTTAAGGATTACATCATCAAAAGACTCACACATTGCTGGCCCAGTCTGGACCCACATTCGCAGATCATCTACATGTCGTCAACCAATGCCAGCGAGGCGCAAGGTCTTGGAATAATCACCGAAGAATTTGCAGGCCTGATGAATGGCATCAAGTCCATGGTTTTGAAAAGCATCGAAGCAAGGCTACAAACTAAATGGAGGTAATTAAGACAAGTCGCTGTTAAATAACATCGCTTGCAAAGCCTTGCTATCAAATTCTGAAGACGTAAGCATGCGTCGCGTGTATCCAATGATGCTCGCTCATGCCGTGAGAAAATTTTAAGTTAACTTCACCGTTTGGTGAGAGAAATTATTTCCATTTGATAATAGTATGACACAATAAGTCATTTCCGAGTTGCTTTTTTGCTCTCTTTGAAAACGAGTTCTAGTTCATTTGGAAATGCGAGACAAGACAATGAACGTGCAAGAAAATCTCATTTCCATATGAAAGGTTGTGCACCAAGACTCTTTTTGAAATAGTGTGTAAAAGCAACTTGATTATGACCTATTGTTTCTGCATCATCTAGTTATAATGCACGTGGAAAGGTTGGAAAACACTGCCGGCAAAGAATTTAGAGTAGCTCTCGGCCGCGTCTCTAACAGTGCGCGTTTAAACGCTTTCCAAACGTCCTTCGTACATCATAACTCCATCCCTGATGCACGCTAAAGCATGGATCACTAGGTAACTTTTGAATAGACGAAACGAAACACTACAAACTCAGATTTTTGGTTCCAATTAATTTATCCTGCAGTGCAGACGTTTTATTTGATTGAGCGCTGGATAATTTCTTTGCATATGTGGCCGCCACCTTGAAGTCGCAAAACGTACATGACGTCTTTCTCCCTAGAGTGCTTTTCTTCCGCACTCACATCAAATCCAAACGGCGCTCTCTTGCTCAAACAGTATGCTCTCATCAATTCAAAATAAAAGTCATATTGTGTGGTAAAAACTTTCCGATGATGAGCCGTTAGGAGTCTCTAATGAAATGCAATCCGGAAATCGGGGCCCAGCACTGAGGTATTGTCTCTGGGTTGAAATTCGGAATCCAGGAGATGTACACGGGTTAAATTCAGAATCCAGATTGCGTAATTCAGCTATCAAACCAATCTTCTTCCATGGAAACAAAAGTTTGAGATTTTGATTCGATCTGTTATGAGTTCCGGACTTCACGGTCATTGAAATCGTGTCATTATGGAATCCAAGACCTCTTTGGGCTTATCCCTCTAGGAAATTTGAATCGCCCAGGCCAGGAATGTGTTGGAATAACAAGAAGAACAAGAAGACATCACGTCTTCTATCTACATCCGACGCACGTAAAAATCACTTCAAAAGTAAAAAGTAAATGTATAAAAACTGAGTTAAAAACTGTATAAAAACTATAAACCGGGGCAGTTTAAACTAATGCGAACAGATCGAGTCAAAATGAGTTAAAATGAGTGCGTTTTCCAAACTATAAGGAACAGCTCACAAGTTTGCTTTTTTATTTCAGGTGGCTTGATTACCTCCTTTCTCGCATGGCTTACCACACCAAGGCATTTCTTCAGAATTCTCACAAAGATCGCCAAAAAGTTATTGAGAGAATGATGCTTATCACTGAACGCCTATTGATGATTGAAAAACAGCAGAGTTCCGTTAGCCATGAGCTGCAGGAATACTTGGAGAACAAGACAGACTACGCTGTTAGTACGCTCTCCAAATATCTGAAGTCTTCAGATGTTGTGGGAAAATTTACCTCATGGACGTTGGATGACGTTCCAAACACAGAAGAAAGTTGGGAGGTCACCAGAAACTTCATCCAAAAAGCTATTATGAAGCGGCTTCAGGACGTAATCGCAACTTGGGAAGAAGAGAAACATGTCTTTTCAGATGCTCGCACATCTCTAATCCAGTACTTCCAGGATCGATTTAACCTCGTCGAGGGACAACTTCGAATTCTGGAGAGCTCCGTTGTAGCTAAGGATGCCGCTAGTCCTAGCAGTGACCTCCTGGTTCCAGACAACTTTAGCGTGGCCGAAAGAGTTATCATAGGCGTCACAAGTCCCATTTGGGTTCCAGTCGGTCTGGTTGTCTTGATAGTCAGTGTTCCTGTGGTTGGTGCTATGGCCGTCAAGGAGAAGTATGAAGATTGGGCCAAAACCAGAGAGTACGAAAAAGACAAAAGCGGATTCATGGCGAAAGCTTCACAAGAATATTTAACTGAAGCTGCCGAGGAACAGAATCTGCGGTCGTACGTGGTGGAGCAGCTGAAAGAGTGTGAAGTGTGTCTCAGGCAAGTTGTCGCTCGTATCCCTGAGCTCATCGAGGCTGATAAAATGCTGTGTCAACAGCTGAGAGATGAGAACCGTTCACAGAAAGAAATAGAAGACTTCTATAGACCCTTGTACCAGAGGAGTTTGCAGCTGAGGGATCGCATGGCCATGTTCGGCATCAAGGAGGTACGAACCATGGACATCAGTTGCAACGATTTGGAATGGAAGGACGATGGAAGTTCGCTCCTTGGAACAGGCGCCTTTGCTTCTGTCTATCGAGGGAAGTTAAAGCTTCATGAAGAAGAGCAACCCGTGGCTTTAAAAGTCTGGAAAGAGCAACTAAACGACTGCAACGCAAGTGCTTTCCTTGCTGAAACGGACGCATTGAGGTAAAGTTGACTATTATCACTACATTTTAAGACAGAAAGTTTTCATCATTATATATATAAAAGGCGTGATGCTCAACTTACGTATCCTCTTTGATTTCTCCACACATTTTTGCTTAGCAAGACTTCACTTAATAATTAAAAATACATATAATTTTGCAAGGAAATCAATCTACAGTTAACATATGAAAAGAAATACTCTAGAATACAATTGTGACTAGCTTGCACTGAATCGAAAGTAATCTGTTTTACAATTCCGTTTTTCTTCCAGGAAACCGTTATATGTACAATACAAGAGAATCATTATATGGGTCACGTATTATTCTCGTATCAATACAAGACAAAAAGAAAAATTTTACCTGTAAACTCACTTTTTGCCTATCGCAGGAAATTGAATTATCCATTCATTGTGAAGTTCTATGGTTCATCACTGCTGAAGGAAGGAGACCAGGCGTGGGCGATAATAGTGATGGAGCTGTGCAAGGAAAACTTGATGAGACACATTTTCCTGAATCCTAAGAATATACCAGCCAGGTTGCCCTCCTCAACACCTCCCACCGAGAGAACTACAATCCGATGGGCGAAAGACATCGCTAATGGACTGGAATACATACACAACCAGGGGTACGTCCACAGGGACCTCAAGTTGGAAAACATATTGGTAAGAAAACAAGATGTATCAGTTTTACTGCGATGGTAAATTTTAGGTGGCTCTATCTCAGACGAGGCCTCATGGTTAGTGCGCTCGACTCCGGATCGAGTGGTCCGGGCTGTACCCTGGCCGAGGACAATGTGCTGTGTTCTTGGCCGCGATACTTTACTCTCGCAGTGCCTATCTCCACACACCCAGGTGTATAAATGGGTGCCGGCCAATTTAATGCTGGGGGTAACCCTGCGATGGACCAGCTTCCCATTCATAGGGAATAGAAATCCTCCGATCCTATTCCTTCATGTTAGGCTAAAGTATCGCGGTTAAAATAGAATTTTGTATTTTAACGCGATCATGCATTTAAAAGACGTTGTATTAGTGTTTGACCTGTGTTATTCAACGACACAAAAGTGATAGTATGTTTTTTATAATTTGTACTCTTGTACAGATATCACTCCAAGATGTTGTCAAGATCGCCGATGTTGGTGTATCCAAAGAAGGAAAGATGATCACAGGTACCATGGCCGGAACACCTGCCTTCGTCGCACCGGAAGTGATTAGATCCAGTGTGTACGACTACAAGGCGGACTTGTACAGCTTTGGCATTATGATGTGGGAGATGTGGTATGGTCGAAGAGCCCTCATGGACGTGGGAGGAGATTTCAATACGTTTTGGGACAAAGTGGTTGAAGGTGTAAGACCGTCCCATATTCAGGGCTCCAGGATGCCTCCAGATCAGTGGCAAAATCTGATGCAGCGTTGCTGGGATGGCCAGGTAGAGAAAAGACCAACCGCTGCGACGTGTCACAATGAGTTAACCAACTTGTATAGTACCGTCTTTTTATCTGACGTACAGTTGAACGTGCAGCAATGATTGGCAGTATATTAAACAGCATTCTCAAATTCATTAATGATTCATTAAGTTTCAACAAAGGAAATCAAGACCGTGACGGTGTTTGGATATCTTAATTAGCATAGATTTTTACGATTTCATTTTTCCGTTTTCTCCTTCGTTTTCGTTTTCATTGAGAAGATATATCAAACACTCAAGACAGTGTTTGACCATGCTTCCAAACACCTCGAAGTTCGTCAAAAATGCTCTGCTGCGCCTTGTATTTTTAACTTTCTTCTCGGTCTTTGGAAATGTGGTCAAACCCCATCTTTCGTGTTTGATATATTACGTAAATGTCTTGTGTGTTTGGGTTAGTGGAATACCATAATGTTATTAGCCTTAAACTTCTAGTTTGAAATTTTAGACCTATTGCTATATATCTAAATATATAACCTTTATTTACCCTCGGCAATGTTTATAGCACAAGTGTTAGAAGGGCCGAGCAAACAACAGGAACAAATAATTCAAATTGAACATAACATTATGTTAGTAAGAATCCCAACTGGCTGAAGGCAAACCGGTCGGCTATTTACAAGCGTGGCCGAGGATTTGATTCCGGGGCTACCGAGAAACAAATCCAGGTAGTGGTCAGAGCGGGACTCGAACCCTGGACCGCTGGATTGCGAGTCCGACAAGCTGGCCACTCGGTCGCGCTGCGTTCTTAATCTTCGTCAATTTTGTGTCAATATCGATCAAATCAAAACAATTCTCAGACTTGAGTTCTCAAGAAAACTTACTTATCTATCAACGGAAATCATTTATCCTTATTGATAACCTGAAAATGACTCTTCGAAACAACAGGGAAATCCGATTAGATAAATAGGCGAACAGTAAACGTTGCATGGAGCGACTAGCAGAACTGGTGCTCTTTCTGGATTGGTCCCTGGTCAATCCAGAGTTTGACTGTCAACACCTCCGTCTAGACCCTCAATCTGTTATGTTTTGTCAGGTTAGTACACTTGAAGTTCATCGGGACTCATTTTTACACATGAAGAGTGAAAAGTTACTCAAGAACATAACAGAGAAACTCCGATCCGCTTTTGAACATGATTCGCTTGATCCACGATCCAACACGCCAACCATTAGGCAAACCCTTTTACTGCCCTAAGAGCTGAGACATCTGTAGAATAGCATCTGCAGTTACGTTTGGTCAACTGATGGAGTGTCATAACCGATAACCGTCCAGAATTGAGAAGACACCCGAAACAAGTAGAACTTTAAAGTGGAACGGGTAATATAGACATATAACATAACATTTATAACATAGACAAAGAGGTTAAAACGACTTCATAGATTTTAGTCAAATAGGTGTTACCGACGTGAATGCAAACAGGGAGTATTACGACCCGTTTAAAATTTGATTAAAAGACATACTTTTTCATTAAAAAAATAATAATTAGAATAAACTTTAAATTTACTTTCATCGATCGTGTCTTGTGTTTTTTTGGCGCGGCCAGCTGGTGCAAGGTGTAGAACCGAGCATTCAGAAAGTCTGGCACGGCCAAGAAAGACGGAGGCCGGGTAGGGAAAATGCGAAATTCTCGGAAGATGCGGTCGCCCGAGTTCAGAGCGGAAAAATGCAATAAACGTGCGCGAGTTTTGGCTCCGCCGCCAGGGTCCAAGTTTGAAAACATGGGGGTAGTAAAGGAGAAGAAGTTACGATATTTATATTTTTTTGCCAATTTTCCCGGTAAGCAGCAACATGTTATTTTCCGGACAAAACTAACCTATAAAGGTTTCCGAACCCTATAAAACCACGCGGGATACAAGAAATTTCGGTTCGACGACACATTTTCCCACAAACCCTCTTTACTTAAACACACCACTGAATATACAAGCAAGAGAGCCTCTCAGCAGGCAGAGGAGCCTTGTTTTCATAACAGTAAAACTACGAAAAAAATTCATGCTGCTCAAGTATAATTATAAATAAGTCAAACTCCGAAATCAATCGAGCGACTTATTACAGTCCGCGTTCTTTCCAGTCCGCGTTACTACCTGAGCCCACAAGCTGGGCCAGACAATAATGTATTAAAATATATTTAATTATCAAACTTATGTTCAACACCTGTTCAACATGTACAACAGCTAGTAAATTTTCGTGTTGGTTAGATCTCAACTGCACAATTCAAGGAAAAGGAGAAAGGTCTAAGAAATCAATAACGTATTCTGCCATCCTGATTTTAACCTTAGCTACATGAAAGCGACGCCCACTGGGTATACACAATTTTGTGGCTTGTTGTGCATTTGTGTATTTGCGTATAGTTTTTTTTTAACCAGCACATTCAATGTAGACTAAGGAAAACACATGAAAAGCCACTAACTGGAACGTAAACAGTTCTAAGACCTAAATGGAAGATCAGGATGTCTATAATTATTTGCACCAGGACAATCAGCATAAACTCGAAGTCACTAGATAGAATGCCGGAAACAGTTTTTAGACACTGCAAAAAGTTACTCTTTTGTTCAGTCCAGACTGAAGAGGATCATATATTTCATGAAAAGGTTGCAAGGATAATATTTGAAAGAATTTTCCTAATAGGCCTATTGCAATAGCGAACGACATCGCGTCAGGAAAGAGAGGAAGATCTTCCAGTGTCATCTGTTGATTGCGATTATACAAAGTAAGTAAGGAAGATACCAAATTTACATACTCCAGACTTGCTAATTAAACTTTGACAATCCTACCTGCAAGACAACCCAGAAGACTTGCATGAACTCTTCAGATCACATGAAATACATCAAATGAATGGTTCTTGATTCTTCTCAAACAGTACTCAACAATTAATGATACAAGATGCAACTATGGTACTGATAAACATGATGCATGTGCTGACCTTTCATGAAAGCATATACATCGCTGATGAAAACTTTGAATAAGCATAAAAGCAAATGACTTTTAATTAATTAAATAAGGAAAAAAGTGGTAGACATAGAGTTCTAGAGCTGGTATTCTTCGTTTGCACTGTCACACAACGAAAAAATTAATTCGAAAACTATTCAGTGAATAAATTCAAGAAATTGCGATGTTATAGGAGATAATAAAGCAGACACTTTTCCAAGTTTTAGCTCTACAGGCTGTGCGTTTTCCAAAGCTTCAGATATTTTTCGAAATATTTTGCACAAATTTACAGAGCCCAGTATGAAGACGCCATGTTGGTGTACCTCCATTGTACACCAATATCGCGGCAGGCAAATAGTGAAAACATCTGGAACTTACTTTGGATATCTGGGCTATCTGAACTAATTAGGCAAACATCTAAATGAGCACTTTTCCTAATACTTAAACTTCTGAAAAGGCTAAAAGTCACAAGATAAGTCAATATTTTTTGACAAATGCGTTCGTAGCTTTATATTACGCACCGCCATAAAACTGAAATTCAAAATGTGCTTGTTTCCAGACAAAGTGCGCTATTACGCTGAAAAGTTGTTAACAGGTATATATTTACACCCCTCTTATGCCTGATGAGGATAAAAACTTTGGTGGCTCTTTAGTTTTGGATTTTAGAAAATGATGATGTCACAGGCAAACGAAGATTTCATCCGTGAGGTCAGAGTAGGTAAGATTTGAGTCGTACATTGAATATTTTTTTAGCACGAACGTCTCAATATTAATTTTATTTCAAACAAATTGGAACCTAGAAGTTCACTAAATAGCTTAATGATTTAAGTACCTGTATTGCCTGTAAGGCTTATCAGCCAAGGGAAAACAGCACCTCCTTCTACATGTACATGAAGGAGTTGTTTGACTCAAGAAAATAAC